CTGTATCTATTAAACTTCAGTGTGCATTTTATTTGATTCAGAAATAATCTATAATTCTATTGTTAAGATTTGCCCTACAAATAATATAAATATATCAAATGCCCACTCAAAGGAACTGGAAATCTTAATTAGTATGCATTTCCACCAAGGGAAACCATATGGTATTTTAGGATAAGCCAGACATATGTGTTGACATGAAAGGATGTTCCAAAATACTGAGTGGAAAGATGAGTTTTGCAATAGTGTTTCCACAGGAGCATCTCTGCAGGAAAAGCATGGCAGCTGTGCCACAGGGCTGCTCAGAGCTCCTTCCCAAAAGAACTAACATGTGGACACCATGACTAACAGCATCCCCATAGTCACACTGTCCGGTTACTAAGCAAAGGTGTTCCCTGCAATGGACTACTCTGAGCAGTAACTTCATCAGGTCTCCCCCTCCTCTAACAAAAGCTTTCTGGGAACTGCTCTGGGGTGGGAAGAGGTCCTCAATTTCCTCTTCCCTAACTGCATAGGTGTCTGGCAGGCATTGGCCTGACAGCCCCTTCTCCATTTTGTTTTGTCCCTCCAACGACCTGTCCTGTCGTAGTTAGGGTTTCTATTGCTGTGAAGAGACACCATGACCAAGGCGACTCTTATAAAGGAAACATTCAATAGTGGAGGTTCACTTATAGTTTCCATAAGTTCAGTCCATTATTATCATGGTAAGGAGCATGGTGACTTGCAGGCAAACATGGGGCTGGCTACATCTTGATCAGAAGGAAACAGGAAGAGGTCTAACACACTGGGCACTATATCGAGCATATATAGGACCTCAAAACCCACCCCTACAGTGACACACTTTCTCTAACAAGGTCACACCCACTCCAACAAAGCCACACCTCCTAATAGAACCACAACCTTTGGGGGCCATTTTCTTTCAAACCACCATAGTGCCTCTATACACTTTTTACTATTTTTTGGTTTTCTAATTAAATAATTCAAATGGGCCTGGAAGGAAACACCTATCTACTCACACTTGCAAACCTAGAGCTTGGATTGAAGGAAAGAGGTGGGGATGAAGGAATTACAAACATTTTTTCACGTTACATGGTCCTGTAACATAAGCATTCTTTAAAGTGTGTGTGTATGTGTATATGTGTGCATGCATGTGTTCATACTTGCAAAAGCAGTGAGAATTCTATTATTTCACAATATACTTCAGGAGAACCAATTAGTTAATGTCGTTTTCTGATTCTATTCTAACCCATGGTAACTGAGTAGATCTGAAAGAGGTTAGCAACTTTAGGACCTAGATAAGCCTAGGTGGGTGTTATTTGTTATGTTTAATATCTGTGAGCTCTGGATACAGGCACTGAAACAATGCATTCTAAATGCCATCCTCTGACAGAGATGCTGAATTTACATGGGAAGTTAATTTAGTCCAAACCATTTTAATTTAGTTCTTTAACATGTAATACTTCTATGTATGTTGTCATGGTTACATATGTGAATGTGCATGCACATGCATGTGGAAGCCAGTGGTCAACCTTGGGTGTCATTCCTCAGGAGCTGTCTATCTTTTATTTTAAGACAGGTTAGATGATTTAAGCTAGGACGGCTAGCCAGTGAGTCCCTGGAATCTGCCTGTTTCTACTTCCCCAGCACTGGAATTAGAAGCCTTTGCCACCGTGCCAGGGTTCTTTTTGTTTTATATTACATGGGTATTAGGCCCAGTTGGAAAGACAGAAAGTAGATGCAAGAAAGGGAGAAGGAAACTGGTGACTGCCATTTCGTGACACAGACTTGCAGTTCTCAAAAGTGGGGAGAAATCCAGAGTCGACTGCGGGAGAGTTGTGAACACACTCAATGGCACCGAGCTTTATACTTACAATGGTTTAGATGGAAACTACTATGATATGTGCCTCATTCCACAATTAAAAAAAATTAGGAAAGGCAGCATTATGGTGGAGGTGGTTGCATTACCTGTTATACACAGACTATTATGATTTGGGACAGAACAGAGTTTCTGCAACCATAAAAACAAAGCAAGACAACTATGGGGGCAAAGGGGTAGTTCAGGGGCTAAAGGTGCCTACCAAGGACCCACATGGTGGAAGGAGGGAACCAACTCTCTTAAGTTTTCCTTTGGCTTTCCCCTGCCCACTATGGCATGAACAACCCCCCTCCCCAATACATAAATGAAATAAAAAATCTATTAAAAGAATAAGAGTAACCAATTCAATGTAAGAACGAGTAAAGGTTGTTGTAGAACACAAATGATTCCTAAATATATAGAGATATTAGATTGCAGTAGTAATTAGCAAAATGCAAATTAAAATGCTGTGCTGGATCTCACCCACTTACAAGTTTGAAAATGCATGTATTTGTGTTAACTGTGGCGAGGGTTGTCAGAAATGCATACCCTGACTTGTACACATATCTATGGAGTAGAGGTATGTGGCAAGCCTGTTGCTCATAAAAAGCTCTCCTGGAATTCCACACCCTCGCAACACTCACAGTTGAGTTCAAAGACCAATGCATTATCTTCCTTGGAGCATTGTTACTAATTTTAAAGCACAATACCCATTAATCAGGAGAATGGCAGATAAATTTTATTCTATTTCTGCTTTGGATTAACATGAAGTCCTTGACAAAAGATCTATGAATAGTATGGGAAAGCTTTACAACTTGGATTGTAAAGAAGAAAGCTTTACACTACAGATAGCAAATTTACTTATTTAAAGATATTTTAAAAACCTGTGTGTATTCTTCAAATCTTTACAAAGTATCTTGTAGTGTTACTTATCATATGTATGACTTAAAAGTGATGTTGGGGTGTCAAGATGTTGAAATGGTAAACTCGCAAGAGCTAATCTGCATTGTCAACTCGACTGACTTCAGTGTCACTTAGGAGACACATCTCTGGGTATGCTTCTTCAGGGTTTTACAAAAAGGGGCAACTGATGAGGGATGACCCATTGTTAATGTGGGTAATGGCATCCCGTATGGTATGACATTGAGAGAGAGAGGCTTGGGGGAGAGATGCTAGTCGGGCAACAGAATCCCCCTCTTTCCTTTCTGATTGCCAATACGTGCCCAGCTGCTGCCTAGCAGACTGTCTTCTCAAACAATGAGCAAACACCAACCTTCCATTTCTTAAGTGACTTCTTGTCCAGTGTTTGTCACAACAAAGAGAAAGCAATCCGCTGTACTTCACGGTCAGTCTAGACTGGCACCAGCTGACAACGAAAGACTATGTTTCATCGCGTCTACTTCCCTACTGTCGGAATGTCAGCAGTTGGTCATTGTGTTATTTCAAAAGTACACCAGTCAGATGTGATGCAAAGTAAGTAAAACCCGGGGAGTAAAATGTGGGGGGGGGGAACTGAAGACTGAAGCAGGGATCAACCACTGGGAAAGAAAACCTCAAGCAAGGACAAGGGAGCTTGCTTCAGGCAAGGGTTTGCTCTCCAAAGATCCTGATAAGCTGTGTGTTCTGTTTCCGATCTCACAGGGTGTGCTTATTTGTTTTGCTTTTCTTTCCCTCCTCTCTAGGAAAGGTTTCCTGTCTAGAGAGGAGGGCCAAAACCTACTGTTCCCATAAATGAGTTGGAGAATGCGCACTGTGATTTCCTTCCAGAGTCAGCAACCACCCAGCCAGGTCTCACAGGGAAAACACAAACCATTCTATTGTCAAAGGCAGCACCCTCGTCACTCAGAAGCACAGCCGTGTTCCTGACACGGGTCTTTTCTCACGACAAAGGCATACAGAACATCAGCACCCATGGACTTCCTATGCACTGAGGGAAGGGAAGCTGTGAACTTAGGGGGTGGGAACCCCCCCATGACTCTGGTCACCCGCAGTCCCTACTCCAAAAGACCCTAGAATAGGAAGTACAACAGAGAGGCTATGAGACTCTGAAGTGAAATCGTGACTCTGTCACCTGACTAGCTACTTGACCATCATCTTCACTTGATTTCTCTGGACCTCGGTTTTCCTCATTGATAAAATGAAGTACACGGTTCTTGGTCAAGAGTAATAGGAAACATTATTATTATGTAAACAAGAAAAGTGAAATTAAGTAATAAAAAGTAAGCTGCCCCTGGTCCAGGTCTATTTACATCAGGGTTTGGACCTGTGGCTGCCCCTCCCCCCCTTCTTCAGCAGAGTGCTTTTGGCCCGCACCTACACAACTCTGTTTGCTGTGCCTATGTCCACCCTCGCATCCAGGTGTCTTGAGAGGAAACAGCTTGATCTCAAAGTGCTTTTACAAGGTGTTGCAGGAGGCGGCTGCGGTATCCAGCCTGTGTCTGAAAGCGATCCCTCTCCATGTGCCGCTAGTCACTCACATGCCAGGCAGGGCAGGTGGAAACAGCAATGGGTGAGTAGCCAGCAAAGAACGGTTAAAGAGAATCGCTGCATTCAGACTCTGATTTCAGTACACCCCTGCTATCCTCTAGTCTCGGAGCCTATCACTGGGCATCCCTGACTGTTAAAGGTGGGACAGCTTGGGAAGAGGTACCTGCTCTCTCCACCTGGGCAGAAGCGCTGCCCCCACAGCTGTCTCACCCGGGAGCGCTCCTCTGAGTGGAGAGGGAAGAACCTATTCCCAGAGAAATGGCAGGGCTGCGTGGGAGTTACGGGGAATGCAAGAAGATGGGGCAGCCATCAGCTCCCACAGGATAATTTGGGAGAGAAGCCAAAGAGGCCGAAACGGGAATCCTAATTCAGTAAACATTTCCCTAACCACTGGAGAGACAGGCCAGGGGATGGTGAACCTCAAAGCAGGCCTGGACTCGGCGACTTGGCACTCCAAGGGGATCTGGTCCTTCAGAGTTACCCAGGAGGTGGGCGGCACTTGTCTGGCTTGAGAGTGCAGTCTCGGGAGGCAAAACCAACGCGGGACGGAGCGGTGGCTGCGCGGGGCCGGAGCCAGGAGGCTGCGGGGCACCTAAACTCCGGGCTCGCCCCGTCGGGGAAGCGGAAGGAGGCGGCGAGGGTGCGCGGGTCCGGTACTCACCCGCCTGGCGACTGCTCCGGAGCCCGGCCGCTCTTGGGCCTCGCAGGGGCGCGGGTGCGGACGTCTGTCCCGGCCTGTGGAGGCGGCCCCGCGCCCGGGCTATGAATCAGCTGCGGGGCAAGTGTCCAGGGGCGGGAGTTACGGGAAGGCGACGGGGTGGGGGGGATGTGGGGAGGGCCGAGGGGCAGCACTGTTGCAATTTCCCGTCTCGCCGAGCGCTTTTGGCACTCCTGGGACCCACAGGAATTTGCCTCCTGGTCCCATGGGGGATGTAGGGGGAATGACCTGGACCCTGCAACGCGCTGTTCTCGGGACCCGGTGGGCGGGACCGGTGGGAAGGCAAGTGGGAGAGGCTTGGGAAGGGAAAGCTGCGCCCAGAGAGTAGCATCCTGCTGCTCTTGGAGGGCAGGGGAGGAGCCGGGACCCTGTGCCCGGGGCCAGGTGTTCCTGCACCGAGCCACCTACTTTGCCTGCAAGCCCCAACCCTGCGCCATCTGTCAGAAAGGTGATTGAAAGGACAAACTCCTGGGTCAAACTTAGGATCGTGTTAACTTTCGGCGTTGAGATCCAGACAAACGTGTTGGAACAGCCATCTACCCAGCGTGTTTCCCCTGAACAACCTGGAAAACGCCCTGTCTGACTGACCACGCCTCCTGCTGCCACAGACCTGAAGGCTGGGTCCAGGGAGAGTCGGTTTGCTTTCTCTCCTTAAAATGCTGTTCGATCTCTCCAATTCAGGCGTTTGAAAGACACTTTGGCCTCTCTTTATAGTTGTATGGTAGAATGTCCGCAATCAGATCGACTCTGGGAACTGGCAGGAAGCAATCGAGATCTCTCTACCCAGGCCCAGAAGCTGGGAGAACCGCCCACCTGCACAATTACGCCTTGTTCCTGGGAGCTAATACTACGTTCGGTTCGCATTTGGAAACCACCTAAAAGTCACAAATGGAAGCTAGCTGAGAACTGTGATAGGTCAGGACGTGGTGAGGTCTTAGAATCAGTAATTGAGTTAATGGGACATTTCAGAACAATGTCAGAAACATTAGTTATTACAAAAACCTTACTTCCTTGTCTGTGTATGCTTTTTCCTCCTCCCTAATGACTTGTCAGAGAAGGTTTTTTTTTTTCTTAAAGATCCTAATCTTCTCACTACCTAATACCTAATGGTGCTCCAAAGACTGGAGTGCACAGTAAATATTTGTAGACAAATAGGAAAAGGTGCATCAATTCTAGTGAATAAATTTGCCACACCTTTCATTACTTAGTTTTAAGGAGTCCATTAGTGTGGCCGTGTGAACAGTCTTAGGAATACCTTCGAGCCAAGTTCTCACTCACTGGAAAGGCCTTCTGATCTATTTAACTCAGAAAAAAATGGTGCGTGAGTGTATCAGTATCTCCTTGTGTAGGAAGAGTTGAGAGAGGCATCTCTTATAGCAGAAGCCACGTTAAATGAAAGCCATTGATGTGAAGGATGCTTTTAGTTTTTATGTGTGTATGTGGAGTATATTTTCCCTCAGAACTCCCCTCCTTTCCTCCTCCACCCGTGTCCCCCAAGCCAGCTCTAATCCCTCTTTATTGTCATATATGAATGCTTGATTTTATGTATCTATGTAAAAATCTAGGAGTCACAAACAAGGAAGAAAATCTGGTGGCAGTTGTCTTCCTGAGATTGGTTTAATTGAGTATAATTATCTCCATTTGTATTCATTGTCCTGCAAGTAATACGGTCTTTTTCTTTCTGTAAGAAAAAGTTTCATTGTGTGTGCAGTCACACAGGTTTTTCTCACTCATTCCTCTGTTGGACATCTGTGTTGGTTCCATAACAGCTATTGATAACAGAGCTTCAATAAAACACTGACATCCAAGGATTTCTGTGGAATATTTACTTTAAGTTCTTTGTGTAAATACCCACTTAATTTGGGCTCCTATTAATAGTATTGTTGGAAGAAACCAAAATGTCAAATTTTAGTAATTACTTATGCTTTTAATCCCAGTACTTGGGAGGCAGACAGATCTCTGTGAATTCCAGGTCAGCCTGTTCTACATAATAACTTGTCAAAAATACTGACTACATATAATTTATTTTTATCCTATTCTAATTTCTTAAATATATGCCTTTAATGAACACTCTAGTAGCTATACACATTGTACATTTGTGTTCCTACTCAGAGAGTGGATGTAGTGGGTTGAGTATTACCTTCCCCAAGTTCACATCAAGCTCAGAATGTGACCATATTTGGAAATAGCGGTCTCTCAGGTTGAATTGAGACATGGTCACTGTGGATTAACACAGCGATGACTATGTTTTTAAGAATATGTAAATCTGGACATAGGTAACCAAGATGAACACTGTGTGCCTGTGAAGACAGAATCTGAATCTATTCTATCTCATACTAAGGATAGACAGGATGGTTGACACCCACCAGAAAGAGGCATGTAACATATTGTCCTGTGAGTTCCTGAGAAGGAGCCTATGCCAGTCACACCTTGGCTTCACTCTCTTGGCCTCCAGAGATCCAGAGAAGATGGACTTCTACAGTTAAAAGCTATTGAATTTGTGATGCTTCAGCAGCCTAGGAAACATATTCATAGGTTATATGCCAAAGGTCAGTTTTTTAAGTGGGCTGAAAATAGTCACAAAAAAGGAGATGAAAATGCTAGTGAGGTTTTAAACTGAAGGTTGTAATCTCCATCCTTGCTTAGCACAGATATAACTGTACAGCTGAAGTACATTCTTCTCTTAGCTCTCCTCCTGGGTCCTCTGGCTGCCTCATGGTTTTTGTAGGGAAACCCTCATCACTCTTCATTTCTTGTGTCTCTGACCCTCCCACCCATTTTTTTTGGTTTTGAAACAAGGTTTCTTCATGTAACCCCGGCTGTCCAGGGACTCACTCTGTAGACTAGGTTGGCCTCAAACCCAGAGATCTGCCTGCCTTTGCTGAGATTAAAAGCATGTGTCACCACACACAGTGCTTTTCTCTCTATTACCTTGTTGGACTTCTTATTCTCACTTGCCTCCAAGAATTTGATCCTCTCCCACCATTGATGTTTGCCTCTTCCTTCAAAGTTTCATAATTTGTCACATTCATGTATGACGTCAGTGATCACATGTGTACAGATGACCCTATAATATTCTTTTCCATTGAGATTACTTCATTTGCCCTCCAGACCAATTTGTTTCTACCTTAAAGTCAGTATGCTGTAGTTCAAATTTTGCATTGTTTCTCACATGGTTCTTTTACTATAAGTGAGTGTTCCAACCTTCAATCATTATTAATAGTCCAGCCTTAATTTAGTGCCTTTTGGAGCTCATATCCCAACAATGGTCCTTAACCTATTGTCTGTCATTGTCTCCATTGGAGTCTCCATTGGAGTCATCTGAGGAGGGGCATGTGTGGAATGGACTGCTACCATATTCAACGTCTCCAGAGGGAAAGCAGATCTACTACAGTCAAATCATAACATAGACACATGTACTATAATATAAAGCTATACATAATATGAAAATTCATGTAAAATTCATTGTAAAATACAGCTATGATTTTTCAACTGTTGTAAATATAATTCACATGGGGTGATATGTCACGAAACTGATAAATTTGAAGGAATTGAGAGTTTTCTAAAGAAAGTGCCTTTATAACTCAGCAATGGATAATGGTTTATAATTACCTTCATCTATAAGAATATTTTGTTTCCACATTTGACATCTCATAGATTGTCTTTAGGTCTTCAGTGAAACATACTTCTATAATTATGACCAGTAGTGATCTTGACATTTTTTAATAATAAAACTTAATAGAACTTAAATTATGATTTTATCAATCTGTCTCTCTATACTGCAAAAATAATTAGGCTTTCTCCAATTTTTTAAATCTTAATGCAAGACATAAACTTTAGCTATGGACATCTTACCCATCTAAATATCTAAAAGAAGAGCTTGGCATGAAAAGGGAAGCTGTTGGATGGGAGAAGGCCACAAAGACCCTCTTGGTCCTTCTTCTGAAATTTCCCTACAGAAACCAAGATGTAATCAGAGGACGGAGTCCAAGGGAAGAACAGAGCAGAGGTGAATTTACATGAGGGAGAGCATCATTTTGGAATTTACATGAGGGAAAGCATCATTTTGAAATTCTCAAAGTGTTCTTGTTGTAATCATGCTCACATCTTGTTTTAGAGATCACTGGAAATAAGATCAAATGGAGAACTTTTTGATGTATTTCTTTCCTTCTCCCATGACCTTTAGAAAAAATGTTAGCTATATGTTTGTTTAGACAGCTGCTTCTATGCTCTAGGCCTTTGATTGTGGGACTTAATAAATGAGTTCAGTCATGGTTGCTAGAAGGCAGATTGCTGGTACAAGGAGAGAAGTTCTTTCTGGAGAATTAGATAGGAACTCGGGGGATTTTTGAAAGTTATTTATCATTGATCAAAAAAAATGACTTACTATGGTTTTGACCTTAAATATTCCCCAAAGACCGTGTGTTAAAGACTCCTTACTGGCCAGTGGTGCTACTGGGAGATAGGAGCTTTGAATGTTGGGATCAATTGAAAGAAATTAAGTCACTGGTGTACAACCTTGGAGGGACTGTTAGGACTCTGGCCCATTCCTCTCTCTCTCTCAACTTTCCAGTCACTATGAGATGAACATAGATCTTCTCCACCATGTGTTGTCACAGAAACATGATGTACTGTGCTATCAGAGCCCTGATGTTAACAGGCCAAGTCATGACTGATCTCTCTTCTATCTTGAACCAAAATGAATGTTTCTCCCCTTTGAGCTATTGATCTCAGGTATTTTGTACCAGCAACAGAAAGCTGACTAACACAGGTCTACAATCGAACTTTTGAAATCTGTCTCTCTTTATAGACAGCATGTAGCTGTGGCTTTTACAAAAGTCTATTAATAATTCCTGCAATTTAATTTGATAGATATTTTATTACTCTTATATTTAGGGCAATGTAAATACATTTATATTTTGCTTGCCATTCATTATGTGCTTCCTTAATTATTTTTTCATTTGTTTTGTTCTAATTTTGCTTTTCTATTCTTCCCTCTTCTCTTAGATTTGATTAAATTTTTTTCTTTTAGAATTCCCCCTTTTACCTCTCACCCAGTGGTTGATAGAGGCAGAAGCAGACACCCACAGCTGTGAACTGAATTGAACTCCTGGACCCCAGTTGCAAAGAGGAGTGATGACCAAAGGAATCAAGGTCAGGCTGGCAAAACCCACCGAAGCAGCTGACCTAAACAAGGGGGATCACATGGGCCCCAGAC